ATGTGTTCGGGGGGCTTGGGAGGGGGGAAGTTTATTATTATTATTATTATTATATGTGCTGGGGGGGCAGTGTATTAAGTGTGTGGGGGGCTTGGAAGGGGGGTGAAGTGTATTTTATTTGTGCAGGGGGGTGTATTAGTGTGGGAGGCTTGCATTTTTCTGTGTGTATATTAGGCCCCTATATATCAGGTACGATTAAGGATTCCTGTGTCACAAACTTGCGTTTTCCTGCAGCAGGAATCCCTAATCTGGCGTTTACATGCAGCAACTGTCACCCATTCAAATTAATGATCGGGTGACAGCTGCTGCATGTAAATGCCTGCATACCGCATGTAATTGTATGTGATATGAATACATGCAGTTACAAAAACAATCACTATCCCTGGATATACAATTGTGTATCCAGGGATAGTGACAGATTCCTAACTACATGTAATCCTTTCACATATGATTACATGCGGTGTGCAGACGTGTACATGCAGCAGCTGTCTCCCGATCAATAATTTGAATGGGTGACAGTTGCCGCTTGTAACATGTGCATACATTAACACTGGCACCGTATATAGTAGCGGCCCCCACGGGACTACAAAAATGTGTCCAGTGGCCCCCCGACTAAATTGAGTTTGAGACCCCTGCTCTAACCCATCCCCGATAGTGTTGGACAGCTGCATTTAAGGCAACTGGAGCTGCTTTACTGACAAAACAACAGTAATTCATTGCGTGCTTACTGTGTTGCAGAACAACACAATGTGTTTACAATATTTTTTTAAGAAACTTTAAAATGTAGGCTTTGGGTATGTGGGTATAAAAGCCAGAGCTTTTATACCCAGTGGAGGACTGAGACCACTCCCCGGGTACCGAGGCAAACAGGTAGCCTCTCCATCAGGAGCCAATGGCGAGAGAGAGGCAGAGGGTGTGTGCTGGGAACCTCCCCCAGCAAGGATCACACCTGACACCAGTAACAGGCGCAGGCACACTACGCGTGCGTCTCCGTGCCTGCGCGCGCAGCCTGTCCACCACGCACTCGTCGTGCATTGCGCGCATGCGTACCCGCAGTCCTGGCTCCAGGGGTCCTGCCAGGAAGGGGAACCCGTGCCCCCCGCCGCACATGGCCACCCCGAGGAGAGGTAAGCCCCCTGGTACTCTGACAGTTTCTGAATCAATTTAAATTAAAAAATTACTTTTTTGAAGAAGTGTAAATGTTACCTTTTCTGGACTTTATTTATTTATCATACTATATCATACTACATACCTGCTATGATATCAAATGTTTAAAAAAACTGGGATAAATGTGGAGGAAGGGTAAAACAACACAATCGAAACCATGGTTTAACCCTTTCGCTGCCAAGGACGTATGGCATACGGACCTACAAAAGTGCTTCCAGCTGGCCAGGTCAGTATGCCATACGGACCTGGCATTTACAGTTCTACTATAAGCTGATGGTCGCTTTAGCGACCATCAGCTTATAGTATAACTGTTCAGCAGACTGTCCCCTTTAAATTAATAGCTGTCA